CTCTCCTTGGATTACCGAAACTGTTGATGAAGAGGCTCACTTACTTCATGACCCGTAGTCTGCGAAGCATTCATTGACTTTTGCCACTATCGTGAGTCACCAAACTGACCCAGTGCCTGTGTGCATGGAGCTCACGGAAACAAACCACTTAAGCAGGGTCGATATCACGCTCAAAGCTATCCATCAAGTTCCCAAACAATCAGGCCATCTTCTAAGATGGGATCTGATAGCATTTCACCAACCACCATTAAACTAGGAGGACCTGATATACCATTGCTCCTGAGGAGCATGTTCACTCTATTGCTGGAATCTGGTCAAGTTCCAGACCAATGGAAAATGTCATTTATTATGCCTCGGCATAAAAGAGGTCCCAAACAAACGATTGATAACTACTGACCAATCCACCACACTGATAATGGCTCGGCTATTTGAAAAAACTGGTCAGTATGGAACTGATGAACTTTGTTGATTCTATTGGCCTGATCAATACTTCGCAGCATGGTTTTCTTACTAAGCGGTCGTGCCCCACCAGTCAACTGCATTACCCTAATCACATTACAGTATCATTCGATTCCAGCTGTGTAGTAGTAATCTCGGTTCTCGACGTACCCCAATCGTTCGACCGAGTACCGCACATGCGACTGTTACAAAAGTTGAAGAACCTTTGATCCGGGACCCATTACTTGGTTGACTATCGTCATACCTGAGTGATTGTCATCAAGTTGTCACTTTAGGTGATTACCGCTCTTCCCCACGCTCAATCACCGGTGGAGTCATTCAAGAGAGCGTGCTCGGTCCCCTACTGTTTTCGCTCTACAGCAATGACATCACAAGGTCTGTAAAACATGGTACATCCTTTTATTTGCTGGCGATATCAAACTAGTCTATAAGTTCCGGCGTGACGAGTTTCACAGAAATTACTGCTCATTCAAGAAGATTTACTTTAGCTTGAGTCAGGGTGCTGCACATGGCTGATGAACCTCTCGGCTAAGAAATTAAGCATCTTGTCTTACGGCTGCTGCATCCCCGAAGGATCTATCGCCCTAATCAATGAACGTGTCCCTACGCAGTTGTCCACTCTCGGAGGATTGCAAGGCCTAGTGGATACATCGGATCATCGTGATGTAGCAAGCAGCCTCTCCGGGGGACTTCTGTAAACTTTTCTTCTCTGTCCGAACCAGTGGGGAGAAAAAGCCGTAAGTTACTTCTTGTGAGAAACCGTTAGGGAGCAAATTCAGACGTCAACATCAATTTGTAAGTTGGGGTGTGCACTGTGGGCAACAGTTTAGCTGATCTGATTCACCGATGAGCTCTCATTCGGGAATCCCCCGGAGTCTTTGGACTGCAGAAGTCCCGTATCCATCTGTGACTGAGGATGCTTGTGAACCTCGCTTTCTGAAGCGTTCGAAAGCGCCCGGCCTAAACGAACTCACTCTAGCTCTTCCGAAAGCGGAAACATCTCGCGTGTAAGAGAATCACTTTCCTCCTCTAAAGAAGTTGGATTACTGAAGCAGTTTCATCCTACTGAGGCATATCGGATTTCGTACTAGTCCTCAAGTGGGGTGCACGGACGGTGATCTCACCGAAGTCCAAAAGATAAAGTTCGGACAAAAATTGCGCAAGGCAAAATGTTCACACATTTGAATTCGCACACGGAAGAAGAATGCCTGCTCGAGGAGCATCCCTATGGAAGAATACCCACATCGAAACTTGCCCACACCAAGTGTCCACACAGGCACATTGGCCATTTAACTTCTACACATTACTGTTTTTTGATCAATTCGTTACGACTGACGATTTGATTTTTTTGGCATTACAGGTGCCATACTCGCCCTTTGAATTCAACAGCAGTCATAATGCATTTTCAGCCGCAGATTGTTGCACCCAAGCTGCCAGCTAGTTTTATCACTTGACACGTACCGCACTGCTATACGTGCCAAAAGCAGACAGGGCATTGGTCACCTACTGCAGTTTGCGGATGTTAAGACAAATGTTGTGTATACAGAAAGATTTCGTTTTTATGTTTGAATTGCATTGGTGAGGTTGGTGACAGCCACTGGTAAGAACTATTCGTATAATCAAACATTGTACACCTACTATGTTTTGCTGCGACATTACAACCAAATTCAGTAGAACTGCTTTAAATCATTGATTCAACTGATTTAGTAATGTGAAGATGGGCGTTTTCTTACCTGAGTATGTTATAGCGGCAAACCCAAAAAATCAGTCCAGAACAAAGCTTTGATGAAAGCGCGCCTCTTCATTTTGTGGATAATGGCGGGTCCCGCCATGAACCAATACAATGAAGCATGGTAGGGAAACGGGAGTAGCAGGGCGGGTCATGGCTGTTTGAATGGTCTGACGGTGGGCGTATTATACTTTTCAGTTAAAGGGATTTAAAATTGTGCATCGGTCGCCTAACTTTACATGGAAAGAATTAATTTGTGTTTACATGTTACGCATCATACTCATGTGAACCGTGGAAATTAGCTGACGGCCACAATCTTTTCGCATGAACATTTTGTTGTGGTAAGTTCCGTTGTGGAGATTCTTCTGTGTAGGCATTCTGCCGCGTGTGCATTTTCCGAGTGGAGAATCTTCATGTGGGTTTTCATGTCCGTGTGTGTTTTTACTGCGCGCACTTTACATATGGGCTTTCATCACAGACTGAACCAATCAGTAGCGAATAATCGTCTGCGTTGCGTCCGAAAAGCTTGTCACCCTGCTTTGAATGAGACAGCGTGGTTCGTGAAAAGAACATGCACGAAGGATAAGATGCATTCCACATAGATCGCAACTGTATCGTCCACGCATTTACGGCCCCCTAAGTAATCGATACTAGATCGTTCCACAGGCCAACAATAGTTGTCTTTTGGATATATCACCCGGCTTTAACAACGGCCGCAACTGCTCTCTGGAGATATTTGTTGAGAAGCGGAGTACCCGAGAGATATGTTAAGATGCTTTATACCATCGTTACAGAAGACTGTGAACAACCAGTTAATGGGTTTGTAGGGTTTGCAAAGCTTTGCCTATGATACAATAGCTACTTTAGGCATATGCAGAAATATACTACGCTTCAAAACAAAGTAAGTGGAGCACTGTCTTTGAAATCCGCTTGGCAAAAAAGGCTTGATTCAAATTAAGAGACATCACAATTATGTTGCAAATGCAGCATTTGTTCGTTACTAGGTAAACTTGTCGCTCGTCATGCGTTTTTATCAAACAATATTAGCAGAACTAATAGCAGATGACAACTAGGTTATTGCAGAAATAAAAGTTAAAAAACAAGGGAAATGCCTATTTGCATTTGTTACAAGCACGAACTGCCAACTGTCTATTCCTCCATTTTTTAACTTTTTCACATTAATTTGTCTTAATGGGGCAGAGTAAAGCTACGTAGTTTCTGGTAATATCGCGGAATTAAACAAGTGGGTTTGCTCCATCTGGAATACTGAAGGCATACGGATTGTTGTGTCATGACTGGTCCGTTTGCATATCGCAAATGGATTTACTCATTCGGAGAGTTTTATGCGAACCCGGTTTCAACGGTGCAAATCGCAACCTAATCAGCCATTCTATCGCCGGAAGCGATCATTGGTCATCCAACTGTAGCGAAGCATTGGAGCAAGAAAACCGGATTGTACGGTGACAGCGTATGTGGAAGGTAACGCCAGAATAGTTTCGCTGCACACTTTTGTACATGAATTGCCGAAGCGCACTGACAGCCGTCTACAAACCAGTCGATTAGGTACAATTGTTCCTATCGTTTTATCAGTTTAAACCTTGCTTCACCTTGGCGTTATTAGTGTTGGATCTTATTAAGAGGTGAACGTATTTTCTGCTTTCTGAATAAGTGCATAGAATTGAGGGGAACTGGCACGCCCAGGTTTCAGCTCATTGACAGAGAGGGCCCTACGCGCTTTCGCTGCTTTGATGCTTTTGTGAAAGTGCAGCTTATTCTAGTACTGATTCTGTGAGTACTTATTTTGCGGCATACCACTAATAAAGTAAAAATGGATTGTTCGAGTTTAATCCTCTGCTCGAAATTGCTGGTTTGCTGGTTAACCAAAGGGCTTCCTAAGTGCGTCTGCTGCTAACTGTACAATGGACGCAGAACCCATCAGCAAGATGGCAGACGCATTTCATGTGTCTACCGTTCTGTCCTATAGCTACGAGCGTTTGATTGTATACCTCAGTGACTCTTCAGATTATCATTTTGGTCCTGATTATTAGCAGAGCATCCAACAGCAGAGCCTTTAAATCAACTGTTGCCTTTTCATTGGAACATCATTTATACTTTATCTGCAGCGGATACAAGAGTTTGCATCAAATATGGTTGCTATTTCTCTTCTGTTACACCAAGGCAAAGTCACCGGCGATGTAGTGCGTTGAAGCTTTTGAAAAAGAGCATTGCGAAAGTGCGCGTGTTACTCAAAGTTTAGGTAAAGAAGTTTTCGTTACATTAAAATTCATGGTCGCGATTGACTGTCTAGGCTCCGACACTGTATCTACAACATGAATCAAATGCGACTGATTCGCTTCATCAATTGAAATTATTACCTTCATATGCGGAACCGTTTATTCGGGTGACACCTGCGTCGCATATACCACTTTTCAATATATACACTTTGTGTTTTTAACGTTGTTATTATAGTCCACACGAGGTAGTTATTCTAAAATGTTGGGAATGCAACCACTTGGGTACATAAAGCCTAGATTGACTTGACTAGACTTTTGGTAGAATTTACTTCAAAATTATATGGGAAGCGGGCCCATTTCATGGGTGGGTGTATGGTACGCATAAGGTCGCAACATTAGCTAGCAAACAACGACGATGAAATGCAGTATTCTGTTTACTAACCACTTGCCGAAGCTGTTATGGCGCACGCAAAATGTTTTATTACTAGATTGTTTAAATACTCGGACTTCGAGAAGCAGTGAATAACAGAAAAAGCAATTTAGGTTGGTCTACCCTTTCCAAACTTCCGAGGACTCACCTACTTGACGCCTTTGAATATGAACTAGAACCGTAAGGTATGGTGATCACTTCATTGTGTGCGATTCCACTCAGTGGATAGGTGGTGCAAGATAACAGAGCGAATGTCACTTCCGCATTTCTGCCGGAATCCCTGTCGGACGCGTTAAGTTTCCCCAAGGGGACAGCTAAAAAGAGACATGAATAGCAAGATAAGCTCTCTGTTCCGACGAAGAAAAAGCAGAAATATTTGTGTATGTCATGTACGCGTTAAAGGGGATCAAAGCATGTATATTTCACACTTTTTTCATCTCTGACCAGGTTGCCAAGTTACGGAAGAAAAATTAAAAGTATTGTGTCAGGGAGCAGCAATACATTCTTTTTTAGTGAACTACCTACATCGAGTTCGCTCAGTAACATTAATCAAAACTTGGCTGATTGCTATAAGCGTTATGTGCTGCTTATATAGATGATGGTCTAACAGTGTCAAGTGTGTAATCATCTACTCACAAGCTGTATGGTTCTCAAAAACTGCGAACTCAATGCGGCCCGGTAAATCGGGTGGATTGTCGTTCACATCGATCACTGAAATTATCGCCGCAGCAGAGTCATCCATTGGTGGCCTACCACGATCTGATACATGGATTCGAAAGTGCAGTGCATTCTTTGTTTCGTAATCCAGTGCCCGACGTAAATTTATTTGACCAGTATTTTCATCCACGACGAGATACTCCGCATCCTGGCCCGTTAGCCTGTAGATCAGTTTCGAGTTATCACCTATTCAGTGGACGCAAATAAAAGTAAGCGCAAACGAGTTAATTCTCGTTCATGGTAAAACACTAATTATTCAAAGATTAGCATGGCATATTTTTTAAGCAAGGCTGTTGCAGGAACATAAGTATCTTTAATAATTGGCTGAATATGATATATAACAGATGATACCATCGTGCTTAAAGCAAATCTACTAGCGGAACAACAAGTTTTGCCTCTCTCAATGGGTATGTGTCCCAATGAGAATGACGTCCAATTCTACTATTGCTAGCGCTCAGCTTCGTCCGCAGAAATGCACCATGGTAGCCAAAAATATTGTATTTACTCGGCTATTACTCCCCTCGTTTCACATATCAGAAGAACTTAGGTTCAGACTGTCCTCAAAGAAAATACAAATTTCAGATTGGACCTCATCATAAACTATTCAGCATGCAGGAAAGTGGGTTTCATGTCCTGCGCTCAATTAACATTTTAAGCTGTGGTGTGATATACCGTGTAAATTTGGCCCACTAGAATGGAGACCAATAAGCGATGTATCAAGTAAACAAATTGGAATCCACCTTGGTACAAACAGATCCACTTAATGTGCTATGATTCAACTTAAATTACAGCCTGTTGTTCCCGGGAAATGCTCAGTACATTGGCCCAGATCATAAGGTCTCAAGCTGAATCGCAACATAGTAGAGCCATGTTAAAGCCATATCGCAGCATGAGGTTCTGTGGCAGAAACGCAATGTACTCCACAGAGGACAGACGGAGTAACAGTTAAAACCGGATGGAAGGGGACAATTAATTGATAACGTTCTCCGTTAGGACAAATATATGAGAGCCAGTTTAATCTGGACCTTAAAAAAAATAACTATATATTAATTGCGTTTTGCACGCAGTCGAAAAGTAAGTTCCAACAGGAAAGCCCAGTGGCATTATTGTGAATAGCAAAAAGAAGAGATTTGATCTAATCATTTCTGAAACATCACACATAACCAGGTATCTGATATCACCGAATCATATTCATTTGTACTTAACAAACAAATACATTTTTCCATACAGACTATGTTAATGTATTCCAAAAGTTTACTATTGTGCATTTTGTCGTTCTACCTTCGTCTTTATCCGTTGCAGTAATCTGCATCACCGGAGACCCCACGGAAATATCTTCAGGCACGTTGTGATGAAAAGCGGCTTTGGTAAATTTTGGACGCTCATCGTTATCGTCCATAATTCGCACTGTTAAGGAAGCACTGACGTTCTTCGAAGGCGTTCCTTGATCAGAGCATAATATCCAAACAATAATCTTCGATGTTTGTTCACGGTCGAAAGAAGCTGCCGTGACCAGTTTGTATCTGAATCATATTTGGTGGGAAAGAAGGATCCCTTTGGTAACGGATGCGAAACCTCGCACAGAAACTAGAGACCTGCATACATAATAGCAAGTACAGCTGGGGGAAAACCAGTTGCTGACTATTTTGCGGAATGGCTAGCATCCACTGTAAAGAACACAGTTGGGTTCAATCATTGTGTGGTAGGACAAAAAACTTGTTCTATTAGTTCGTAATCACGTAACTTCTTAATGCACCAGGCATAGACGTTCTCGATTATGCATGATATGTCGATTACATACAGCACTGCAACTGTTTGAAGGTTAATCGATTGCGGCACTAACCCCCTATCCGCGTCAACTACCTGGCATTAAAGGCTTTTCAGTCCGTTTGCAGTGCATCACAGCAGATGGCGCATTGCTCTTTCTTATCAACATATTGATGAATTTTAATTAAGTTTTCGATTCCATCAATAGCACTGGGCCTTCCTTTTTACTTTGTGGGTATGAAAAACGTCATACTTGGTACAGTCACACCAAGGAAGGTGGTATGTATAGATAAGCAACGTTGACTCAAATAATCCGGAAGCCGGCATAATACTACCAACGCAGTGTACGATACAATGAGGAACGGAGATTAGAACTGGAAAACAGCATCAAGAATGTATACTACGTAGATAACCTTAAGGCTTCTTGTGAGAAGAACAGAAATACGGACTTGTTGTCGCTGCTTTCCGTTCAAAAATGCGTTATACATCACTCAGTTAGCAGCGATTACAAAGTATTGTTCCTACAACACCTCAGCCTATGCAGCAAAGGTCAGAAAACACAAATCTTTTCTCCAACGAATTTCACATTTGCTCAATAAAACAGCAGCAGCTTCGAAACTAATGAAAATCACAGCAACAACAGCACAAATTACTCGCTTTTCTTGAGGGCGTCAACGTTTATAGCTCCATAAAGTACAGTGATTTAGGAGGCGGTATAAGTGACTACGGTGATCACTAAACAGTGAATTATCTCATGGGCCGGCTTTATACATGAGATTTGGTAAGTGATAGTTTAAGTGGTGGGGATGGCTCCAAATGTTGTATACTTTGCATCTCGTATGCACACCAACTACATTCAAATGTTTGTCGATCTGGAAAGTGGTGCATCGTTTGACCTTCTTTGTTACCTCTTTCGTCGATGCACCTAATGCCCTGTTACATTTCCGCTGAAGTTATCTTGTAGGTTTGACACGTTTGACAACCGTGTGTATTTGAATAATGAATAACAGATAGGAATGGAATAAGGCAAAATTCCCTAGCGCCCTCCTCTTTGTAAACCGATGTCTCAGATACAGATCTTTATACCTAACTCAAATTACTTTGAATCGGAGGATTCATCGTGCCTGCGCATTACAAGCTTGTTTTTCAGGAAAATGTCTTATTCATATCGTAGGTTAGACATATAAATATCGAAAGGTGGTCTGCTATAAACCTCGCAGTTCGAAGATTCATTACTGTCGTAACAGAGAACTTAATGCACATTCAGTCTCTTGATACTTCACTATACCTTGATATCATTTGTAATGAGTAAAAAACTGAAGCGATAGATCTTGATGTAACGAGGATGCAACACATGATTAGACGAGGGGGTGACATCGGAAATCCCAGCACACCACATTCGACACAGAATAGGAATGCCCGGACTTTTACTCCCAAGAATGGTTAAAGTGGACAGTTACTTTGTCTCCTCAGTCACATACACGATACAAGCAGAAAAACTTACCCAAATATATACATAAAAAGAATTGACACGCCAATCAAAACGTCAAATGAAGACTAAGGCAATCTAATAAATTGCCACAAGAGTTTCTGTTCACCTAGCACAGGTTGGTAGGCCCTGATTAGCAACAATTCACTGAGTGTCAACATTATCGGGTTCCGGTTGTGTAAGAGCACATTGAACACTGGATCTGTCGGCAAGTTCGTATGACTAAAGACGATTTGAGTCTGATACTGGTCACTCCTCGAGAGCTACAAACAACTTTCGCATCACCGCTTCTTCAGGTCATGTGAATTGAGATAATTCTGTTGGGGGTGCAATAGAAATGAGATGAACTGTCGTATCCGTCATTCTTTGGAAAACCGGGGATGGTACTTTGATCAACTTCCTCATCCTTGGTGTATGTCAATAAAACATGCTGAGTGATAAGATTTTTCGCTGCACTCTGTTCACCTTCTAACACGAAACTATGGTCTTTTATTGTGTCATCTTCTCTTAGTGGGTCAGTAAAACCAACATTTATAATGATCCACACACGTATTGCACGCTGTAGAGGTGGAAAAGACGTTGTTAACTATCAAAGGTAAGCCCATTTTCAACATTAACTGGTGTGTTTGATTATAAAATGGTTTAGTTATAAGGAGGCAATTGCAGGTAGTTGATTTAGGCATTATTGAATTTAGTGTTTCATATTAATATGTACTCATCAAAAGTGAACAGATCATTTCCTTGAATTGACTAAAGCTGGTGACTGTTAATACACCTAGGTGGTTTCCGTAAGAAAACCGTTTATGAATGCCGAATAGCGCTGTTTGCCTAAGACCCACGCCTCGTCGCAATCTGACAACGCATACCAACTCGGATTCGCCAGGACACCGTACATAAGAAATGTAACTAAAAGGGAGAGTCGTATAATAACTACACTCCGATTAAATGTTTGTAACGTGTTTGCAAATACAGAAGCTCGTAATCAAGTATTGTAGGAATGCAATAGACTTTTCTAATGAATACATGTGTTAGGATCTAAATAGTTTCGGTTTCTGTGCTATAGCTTTCAAAATTAAGAATCGTCCACATATGCGGAAAACAAATAAATGGAGGTTCCGACCTGTTGGATCCAGTTAGTAGGATGCATCTAACATATCCACCAGGATCTGAATCAATGATTACTTGCAAATCACGCTAGTGTTGGTCATTGAACACAAACTTCCAGGGAATGAATTTTAAAGTTACCTAGAACAACGACATAGAGTTTTCGTCCAACCACATCTTTAATGCGGATGTCACACGGTAGATCACGGCCCAAAATATGTAGAAAGAGAATTAGAAAGTGTCGTGAAAATGGTAATATTCGTTTGGCCATAGCCAGTGCCAAAGCAAAGCGGTGACGCTTTCCGAAGTCATCCATGATGTTACGCTACAGTGTATTCTGTAGTAGAGAGTGATTTGCCTCTCCTTCCTACTAACAGGATGAAAGGAGCAACATATCTTCCCTCCCTTGGTTCGATCGCCTTACGGAAATTATTAAGTCAACTATCCAGGTGTCCAGTTTGAAACGTTTGAAATTAGTGTTTGGCACTTTGGAAAATGCGTGGTTTGACACCCATAGTTTAGAAGCATTTTATCGGCTATTGAAGTGTCAGCCGCAAGCTGGTTTTCTTCAGTCCTTCACCTTCAGGCCAACAAGCTTGATTCCTGAAACTATTGCGGAATTTGATAGCCACCTACAGTTCACGTTATCCCGTTGGATGTTACATTGCTCCAGCCTACTCTTTTAGTAACCGTACAAAGTAAATTCAATTCGAACGCGCAGGAAACTGGCCAGTTAAGCTGCTTGTCTGAGTTAACCACCAGCCTCTTCGATTGGCCGGCACTTATTGACCACAAGTCACCGTGTCGAGGTTACTTTGGCGTTCACAATCCTACAGCACATATTACAGCACACCATTTCTCGCATCCTCCGTATCGCAGAGGCGATTGCTGTTAACCGTATTAAGCCGCTGCTTTGTGTTCAGAAACAATTATTGGTCACCATTAGACTGCTTTGTGGATAGGGATGATAACCCTGACTCGCATATCGTGTGTTTGTTTGTTTGTTTGCATGTATGTTTGGTCGCACCCTTCACTGAATAAAATGAATTATAATATTAAATATTATTATTATATTATTATTGTTAAAGGCACTGATGAGACAACACGAAATGCGTGCATTCTTACTGCGCTTTTCAAATTATTATAGGGAACAAACTGTTTTAAATTCAATGAATCATGGGTTACTCGTGTAAATGATATTGTCGCGCTTGGCCGGAGTTTGATTGCTACTCTGTTTCGTAATTTAACAATTATTCTACTTAAACATACATCCGTTCGACATACAGAAACACAGTTAATAGTCTTGGGCAATATTCGTTATATTCGGCTGACAAGCAAATTCCGAGCAACGAATACTGAAAAAGCATGGTGAGAGCAAGCAGGTGTGCCACCAATACTTCTATTTATTTATTCATAATTTTTGTTTAATATACGTGTAAATCTTGACAGTTTAGTAAACAAGTACCTTTATACGTACACTGTGTTCTTGAGTTAGTTATTGATTTATTCCGCCTAGTGCATATCATAAAAAGGCTCTGTAGTACGATGATCACAAATGTAGGTTGTGATGCCAAATATATACAGCGTGCCGGTCTTAGTAACATCTACGGGATCCAGTTTCGTATGAATTAATGTCATTTTAGCCTAGGACATTAACGGTGTGTGACACCTGATGTTCCTCTGCGTGGTGCATTCATTCCTAGTTTAAGAAGAGGAAAAACAACGATTATCCTGAAGATAGCATGATCAAGAAAAAAGTGATAAGCGGAATTAGGAACTGACGCAATCAGTGAGACCAGACAGAGCTACAGGTTCCTGATGAAACGAGCTGAGACCGGGACGCTGGCGCCGACCTGACCTTTGCAGATGAATCGATCAAGCACGGGCACATCCTAGTAATGATGGGTAGAAGTTATACCTATCAAAGCTCAGACCGGCGAGACGGTGGCGCAGGTAATCGAATTCAATGTACCAGCAAGGTATGAAATTCCACAATATGTTAGCACTGACCAAATGTCTTGCTTTAAGTCAAAAGTTTTTCATGTCATATTAAACAAGTGAGGCTTTCTGAGACGAAGTACCTCACTGGGCCATCCACAAACCTTTGGAATGATTGGGCGGTTTAGACAAACCAGAAATATTTTGATAAACCGCAACACTTTGGCCTGGGAGGAAACATTTCCCAAAGTTTTCTCCCGTATCATGCCAGCATGCTATCAAATACCAGGGTTTCTCTACCCAAATGGCAATTTGGGAGTAAGCCTAAAATCGCAAGCTGTACACGCCTAGCGAAACAGCGTGAATGCGAACCTTCAGCAGCGGATAAGTTAGGAATAATAGCAGCCGCCAAAAGAGGAACCAGATCTCTGCAGATGCGAAATAAGCAGAAATACCACGTCAGATCTGTGGCTGACAAGTGTAGATCATTCAACGTAGGAGAATTGGACGTCCAGGTAGGAACAAGTTCAGGGAACGCTGGGAAGGCCACATGCGCTACCATGGATCGGTAAAAAGTACACATCAGAACTGACAGTGGGGCGGCAAACGACTTGACGAACACCGTCATACTATGGGAGTGACACGCAAGGGACAATCAACTACGAGAAGTGGCGGGTGTAGATAGACCGAAGGCATGGATTATCCGGAAGTTAAGTGGATCACGAAAACCGAGGCGAGTGCAATCAGGTACTAGTGCAACCCTTGAGACCAGACAGAGCAACACAGTCTTGATGGAAATAGCTAAGACTAGGATGCGGGGATCAACCGGTAGAGATCCTGAGCCGTTAAAAACAGGAAAGTTCATCGAAAATGTCATAAATCAGGTGGGTACGCTAGTACCTGAATCTCCAGGGATGATCTCTGGCAGATTTAATGAGTCACTACTAAGCACATTACGAGTTGTTGAACGAATTCTTGCCTATCAGAATGAGACGGACAGAAGTGGATATACAGGGTGAACCCTTTAGTAATTAATCATTGGGTAGGGTGAGCAGGCGCACATATGTGTCGCAATAACACTCCGAACAATGAGATGCGTCGTGGTAAGGAAACATACCTGTTGTTGTCGCACCAATAAACCTTAAGCTTCATTTCCGGATCGCACTGCCACACTAGTGCAGGTCACAGTTATATTAGCTGATATCGTCTACAATTACCTACCAAACTGCCTTATTTGTTGTTAGCGTTGGTTTGGACATATTGATGTTCACGATCTAGTATTTGACGATTCACTAATGCAATGTTTTTATTCACTGCTTACTTCGAACACAGCACCTTTAGTTTTGCAATTACTCAGTGTTTATACCGATATTGTTTAAGCTTGAAAGGACGCCCATCGACAGCCACATAGTTATTACGGTCCAATGTTAAAAATTTTTCTCATCTCTACCTTCTCTCATTGTAGTCATCTTACCGTCATTCGAATAAGAATCACTAGCGATATTCAAGGAAAAACACAGGTGGGATTATCTCGTGCCACTTACTATTCCCGCAACATCATTCGTTTTAAACGGCTCCCGTAGTTAAATACGCATAAATGAGGCTTCAGTTTGAGCCAAATCCTCAGTTGTGTAAAACCGTTTAAAGCGGAAACTTTGAGGCGTTCCAACGATTCCACGCATAGTACAATACCGTGTTCCTCAAGATAGCTCCAGGCAATTTGTGCTCTGCTATTCTGTTTGTTAATATTGCTAGCATTCAGTTTCAAAAACAGACACGTCAACTCATAGTGGACATCCATTGCCCCACCAAACTAAGTAGTGCGTTAGTTTACCATACCAACAGGTGCAGTCGACCGACTGCGCGAAAGCTTAACGTGTGATTCATCCAACTTCGTCAACAGCAGTGGAATATTGGACGGTAGATTATCCTACCACCTGAGTGCGAGCACAGATGTGTATGTTGTCAAGGAACATGGCCCACCCGAAGGGTGAGCATCACGCATGTGCCATAGTCATCTATACCCTTTCGGAAGCAAGCCAGTCCTTAACGGAATCAAGCTCCTCCTTAAGAATATTCAACCCAATTCATAACCACATCAAGCTGAATCCATCGTCTTGACCAATTGCAAATCAGTACAAGTGTACTCAGAACGTCTGCATCGGTTGGTGCAGCGCTCAGCCAACAAACCACGTGAGGCACAGTGAACGCGAAAACAACACGTGAGCTCATTCACTGTAGGATGGGTGCGGACTAGCACGCGGCATCTATTTACGGCTGAGGAAGTACTGTAACTTCCACCCACTCACTAACGCGGCATCAAGACACACAACGCAGAAGTGGGCGGCCATCCGCATGCTCACTGTTACGCGCAGACGACCAGACATGAAATCTACTCTACAACGAGACAGTATCGATTGCACTGGGTAGGGTGAAACACCGTTTGACTGAAGAGATTAACCTAGGGAGTGACCGAAAATTAAGTTGGTTGAGACAACCGACAGGGACATTGCGCGGTATGTTGTTCTAGCTCGGGTTTCAGTCGGAAGTAGGCACTGGAGAACATGATGTTATCATTAGATCGCCAATATCCACTATGTTGTACATATTACTGGCAAACTCCAGTAAATGGGCAAAAGTTGTTGGTATCAAGTGGATGGCACATTTTGAACACAAAAGTGGATAAGAAAAGCTAGTTTGTGAGGAATCGGAAATCGCCCACCATAGAGTAGCACATCGCCATTCCTTGACTGCTCAGTTTGCAAGAATGATTAGCTTCCGAACCGATATATCGTCAACCGACGGACACAGATGGGACACAGTACTACAATTCCGATCTCTGTGTTTCACAAATAAGGTCATGTGCACAGAGAAGGAAGTAGACAGTAAGATAATTCCTGGATAGTGGGCACCGGAAACCGGGAGTGAAAGCCACCTTTCACAATATGCTGAAATCACATTGAAGATATACAGCGGAATGGATTGGGACGATAAGAATATTATAGGTAGAAGGAACTGCCTTTTCCTTTCCGACGGCACTAACTAAGGAATTAAACTCGGGATCTGTCCAACAATGGTGTATCTGAAATACACACTTTTCGTAGATAAGATGACTAACGGTGTTCACAAATGTATTCACAATAACTGTGAATATGTGTGTATATGAGATACCGCGAGCGAACTGCACACAACGCTGTTGGAACACCTGAGGCGCATTTCACGGCGACGTCTAATGCTCTACTGTGAGATTCAGCGGTGGTGACGCACCTGTTAGGTACGGTGCATGTAAGGTGGCCAGATTATTGATGAGCCAAACCGAGACGCTTCCAGATTTCTTGCACGGCAAACCGAGACATTTAACCTACCCCCGTTTGTTTC